AAATGATGGTAATGTACTAGAAAGTCAGCAACCACCTAAATCCTTAAGAGTTGTTTCCAAGGGCAGTGTTTGCTCAGACAACCAGGTTAATAAAGATCTGCAGCTTAGACTGTCAAAACTAATCCAATTAGTTGTGACTTCAGGGTCCAAACACATCCAGCCCTCCACCAGGACCTTCTCCAAGGCATGGCACTAAGCACTTGTGGCACAGCTGGCTCCAGAGGACCACTGCTGCCTCCAGCCCAGCTCCAAGGCTGTCCTGCCACAAATAAACTCTCAAGTAGTTGTCAACAGGTCAGAAAGAGGATCACCTGCCTCAGGGCTGCCTGAATAATGTTTCAACAAGGTGGAAAGCTTCAGATCTCATTAAACCCTCCTGATGTTTGAGAGAGGGGAGATGTTACAGGGCCACCATGAAGAGCCATTCCCTCCCTGGTACAGCAAGAAGCTGGAACTGCACAATGTTGGCTGAGCCTGAAGTGAGGGTCAGCAGCACGGGGAGAGGGGGATGTCACAGTGGTTTGTAAGTAGTCTCTGGGACACTGTTGTTTGCTGATCATAGTACTCTGAGCCATTATATAATGCAGGTCTTTTCCCAAAAAATTAACCCCACCTCACCCAAGTTTTAAGGTATTAGAGGGACAGTCAATTAAAGCTACAGAAAACTATCCTAAAGAGGCAGCTGGGTCTCTGTTGGGTTTTTTTTTCCCCATCAAATAAAACTGTTGTGATAAGTGATCATAACTCCAGGAGGGCTTCCTCTCATGATGCAAGTTCCCACAAGAAGGCTTCCTCTGAGACTGCAGTGTTCTGGGAGGAGGTGCTGCTCTTTGCTGCGTATGTTGGACACCTTTGATTTGCTTCCAGGACAAGGATGCAGAAGCCAATCTCGGCTGACACCACGCAGCTCTCATCACCAGTGGGGCTGCTAGACACTGCAGGAGAGCAGGTGAGGAGCAGGGCTGCAGGATCAAGTCTGCAGCCACTCTGCATGTAACCATCTCCTCTTCATAGGGCAGAGGAAACCCAGCAAGTTCTTGCATTACTTTTCAAATTCGGTTAATTGCTGGGATACGGAAACAAGAAACAGAATCAAACATGGGAAGAGATCAGTTCATGCATCACACGGTGTGGATAGCTGCGTATAACATCACCTGAGGCTGAACAGCCCCCGGTGCCCTTAACACAGGGTGATGCAATACACAATCTTACTGTAGGTAAACTCGGCCAGGCTCCTGTGCCTGCATTTTCTGCCTTGCTTTGCTTTTCTGGCTGACCGTTGTCCAGCAGATCAACCACGATGTTTTAGTATTAACTTTCAAGGTCTTACACAGATTGTTCTTTAGGAACTTGTTGAACTTTTGACACTGTACATCCATGTTACCCCACAAGATCAAAAAGAGGAGACTTTTGTTCCAAGTGTAGTATTTGCTCAAGCTTGCTGTAATCCCAGGTTTACAGACTGACCTTCCCAAGACCCCCTAAGTGCCACAGAAATTACTCTTTGTAAGACAGGCTTCAGAGATGCACCTATTAACTAAATCGTGTTTATAGGGCACTCCATCACTTAACATTCCTGGAGACCTTTGTGAAACTGAATGTTTACAGACACAGAATTAATTTCTAAATTTTCATTCAGTCCTCAGCCCCCTTTCCCAAATGCCATGCTTGGGGCTGAAATTTGCCAGGCTTCTAGTGCTACAGATCAGCAGATCGGTATTTGCAGCTGAAAGATGAAATCCTGGCTCCACTAAAGGTGATGGCAAGGTGCCTGCTGACTTCAGTGCAGCCAAAGTTTCACTTAGAAAAGATATTCAATGTTTGTTGAAGCTTTTTTTTTTTTTTTTACATTTCTCTAGTGAAGAGAAACACATGCTCTCCTAAATGACTACTTTGTATACAGTTAGCTGTAGCATTTCTGAATATTGTAAAACTACAACTGGGGTTTGAAGGTATAATTCTCCCTGTAAGGATCTTCTGCATGCCCTCAACCACTCTGGGCAGGCTTTGCTGGTGCACTCCTTCTCCCTCAGACACAGCATGCAGCTTCACTGAATGCTACAGATTTGCTCTAGATTTATGCTGGTGTAGCTGAAGATCAAACTGAGTATTCAATTACTTATGCCCTCCAAGATATTTATTCCCCAAGATGAATCTCCTAAATCTGTTATTACTGTCATTCCCTCTTCTATTACTATTAGCATGCTGCTGCTTTCAGATCTATGGAGATGTCAACGCCATTTACCACAAACAACAACTGAAAGATGAGAACATGACAGGGAATGTTTAGAATTATTAATCATTTGCAATAACAGAGGAGATAATTGATCTTCCTTAATTCTAGAAGAGTCTATAATCATTACACAGGGATTCTTCCTAAGACTTTTTTTCAAGATCTATTCCTTTCCTATTTTTTTTTTTATTTTATTCTTTTTTTTTTTAACCCAGATGCTATAGTGATTTAAAAACTGTGTGAGGTGAAGAGCAACAGCTACCACACCATGGGACAGAGTCCCAGAGAGGAAAGGTGCTCTTGCAGCAATGAACACAGGTGTTTGTGAAAATGCCAGAAAAGGTGGGACAGGACTCCCCTGCCAGCACTGAGTTATTAACCCAAAGTCCGTATAAAGGTAAATGCAATGCTGAAAAGGAAAAGCCATCTTGCTTCACAGCATCTCCTACTTTCCTCCTTACGCTGACACTCTCCTGTTGTTACATGCGACATCTGGGAAAGTCAGGTGCTTGCACACGTGGCTGTAGTTTATAATGATAGCTCTGCAGCAATAAGATTTCATAAAAGGCTGTATTTAAAGATGAGAAGATCAATGATGAAAACTACAAGTTTTATACTGTAACAGCTTCTTCTCCTGTCAAGATCACTGACAGCAGTTCTCTTGCCATACTCTCCCTATATCTTTGTCCAGGTGTTGAGAGCCCTAGCTCAGGGAATGTGGAAAATGAAAAGCCAGAAATCTCAACCAGTGTGAGACATGTCTAACATTCAGTGCTCAGTTTCAGACATCCAATTTTCAGAGGGCCCTGAACAGCCACCCTGCGGAAACGAGCCCTCTGAAAGTCCCCACAACCTGAATCTCTCTTCAGTCTGTCGCTCAGGCTCCGTTAGCACTTCTCAGCATCTCACATGAAACCACCAGAGCCAAACAGAGGCCAGAGGATACACATTTGTTGTTTTAAGGGGAAACAGGTGCTCAGTAGAACTGCTGATGTAATAACCCTGGAGGTGAACCTTTCTGTCCATCGGCAGAGGAGTCCATAGCCCGAAGAGTCCAATGAAGCCTCCTTGTTGACCAGCTAATCAACTCTAGCCAGACCTGAAAAGGCTCTTTCTGTAAGCAGGGATGTAATTCACCCCTCACACCTCTCTGGTTATGTACATCCCGAACCCTGAGCGTGCCAGGCAGCCCCGGTGGGTTAGTGACATTGGTACCTGCCCGCTGGGAATGGGCTGTAGACCAGCTCCTGCCTTGGTGGCAGTAGGAGCCTTCAGTCTCCCTTGACAAGGGCTGGATTTGAACCAGTAAGTAAAAAGTCGCTTGTTCCTGTGCCAGCTTTCCAAGGCACACAGATGTCTTGGGAATCACATGCTCAATAACACTAGGCATGAGCTGTCAGAAGAGTAAAGACACAGGCTGCCCATGGAGTCACAGGCACTGCTCAGGGCACTGACAGGACGACGTGTATCACTGTCCCAAGTGCCAGATGAGCCTTACAGAAATTTTCTTGTTTCACCTTAGTGCGATCCATATCAGATGACAAAACAGCTCTTTTTTTACTACTATGTAAAGCCAGTTTCTAAAGCGCATGAGATGAGTGTGTGCAACTTCTGTACAAAGGGTGTACCCTGGCATTTGTAGTGTGTGACCCAGGAAGCCTCCAAACTACATCATCCGGAAGGCGAGGGGTACCAAGAAGATCCCTCCATTTATGATTTGTTTGTAATAGTCTTTCCCTGAAGTCTGAGTCACTGATCTTGTTTGAGAAAGAATACAGGCTTAGGTAGGTGTGTGTTGGTGTGGCTATTCTTGTGTTCTTAAGTGTTAATCCTTTTACGTTTCACCCTTGCAAAACAATCTAAGAAGAACCAAGAGTCTGCTAAGAGCCCTGCAATTACCTCCAGCAGCTGCACCTCACAGGCATCAGCAACCTAAAATCAAGATGGTCCTCTACTAACCATTAACAGCAAGACACACACCAGCTGCTCAGATCAAAGTGGCAGACTGATACTTCGCATCAGTATCTGAGGCAAGCATCCCTCTGAGAATATCCACTTGGTGATTTCATTATGAGGACAAGCAATGCCTTCCCACAACCTTTGCACAACGGCAACTTTTGCAGCCGAGGTGCAAGTACTCGGTGGACGTCTTAACTTGAAGTAACCAGTGAATGTATTTGTCCTTTCAGAAAGATTCTGCAGAGAAATCTAAAACATCATCCCTTAATAAATGACTTGCAGCAAGATTTTAGCAACAGAATTAGGGAATATTTTAAAATATATTCACATACTTTCTCAAGATTTACATGCATGTATGCTGTGCCTGTTCATCAGCAAAACTTCAGGTTTCAAGTTTCCAGCATCTTCTCTACAATCATGAGTGCAAAAAATACATTCTTTTGTTTCAAAAAGAAAGCCAAGATATGAACTGAACAAAAGTTGTAATATAAATATGCTGAAATAACTGTCCAAGACTCAAATAATTCTACCATGGACAAGTCTCTACTCACGCATAACAAGATTTCTGATGAAATTATTTCACCAAAATTTATTTCATTTCAAGAATTGGTGATATCATATGTTGTCAATAAAATGCTCAGCAACACTGGCTTTCTCTGTTTTGCCAACGTACATCATCAGAAAACAGAGAGCCAAACTTGCAGTTAGAGCTTTCCAAGAACTTTCTCCAAGAAATGTATTCTCCCCTATGGGGGTAGAGATCAGACCTCCTCTTCTCCAAAGAAAGATACAGTCTTGCTTCACTTACCTCCTCCGTAGGTGGTAGCACACATGATGGATGTTATCCAAGAAATCTGGCTGTAGGAGATGCTGTAAACAGCCTGGAGCTCTTTGAAATAGATGGTGAAAGCCTTAGGAAAGGTATATGCAAAGCCAACTGAGATGGAGGCTCCAAACACCACTGCCCATCCCCATCCACCATCAGGAGGTACATAGCCCAGGTCTGAAGGGACTGGAGGAGACATGGTCCATCCAGATTTCAGAGCAAAAACCACTTTCCAGTATCCTGCAAAGCAAAGGATATGTGTTTTACAGAATTGTCTAACCAGGCATTATTTTAAAGTGTAGTAAAATAATTTAGAGGTACGGGGGATCACCCGCTCTTGAAGTCTTGATCTTTTGCTGTTTATTAACAGTTTTATTGTTCGATTTAACATAACTGAAATCACCCCTCCCCCTCCAATAATCCTGTCCAGCCCTTTCACCCATATTTTAAATACAAACCTTCAAAATTCTCCCACGGCTTCCACATTCAGGGACGGACCTGGTTCAGAACTGAACATAGTGCCTCCATTTTCTCATCCACATCCAGCCAGTAGCTCAGCGTCTCACCTCAGGAGATGGCTTCTGTAAGTCACCCCGTCACAGCTGCTCAGCCCGTCCCTCCGGAGAAAAACCAATGCCACAATTTCACCGGGTTTAGGGTAAACACTTCATTGTATATTTTTCAGATGTGGGTGGAAAACCTTATGATTTCAGGTTACCCCTGCTTAAAAGAATAATTCCCATTACATGAGCAGCAGGCGATCAGCCCCACAGCGCGCCCAGCTCCCCCGTTCTGCAGGGGAACAAGGCTTTCTTGGCTGCTTGCTTCCCCCGAGCCGAGCAAACTGTGAGCAGCTGCTTGCCAAGTGGCTGAAGTTTCTCCCTTCTTAGGGGCAGCAATTCCCCCTTGTGCCTGCCGGGTGCCAGGTTAGCAGATTATGCTCAGGAGCAACACAGATCAAAGAAGGCATTCACTCATTCACATTCTTCCCATTTTCCCTGGCCTTTAAATTAAAGGTAAAAAGAAAGAAAGTAGAACCTATGTGCCTCTCAGGAGTTAATCCACAAGTCTCCTCTCAAGGTCAAGACATTAAACCAGAGGAGAGAGGAGTAGGTCCCACAGCAAAGTCTGCCAGAAAGGTAGATCTGCATCTTTGTGGATAAAAGGTGGTTTATTGTCTTTATATGTTCCAAACTCAGAAGCAAGTGAAGTTGATAGGAAAGGGCATCATCAGAATTAATGGGAAGGAGCAAGCCCAGATATCAACTAGACACATTTTGCTGAACATCAGAGGGAGTAGTCAGCTAACTGCAGAAAGAGGGGCCTTTGCTTATCCTGAAAAAAAAAAAAAAAAAAAAAAAAACAAAAACAAAAAAAAAACACCCCAAACCTTAGGGAAAATATAGTGTAATTTGCATCTATTTGAGAGTTCATTGCTTCTTCAGAGTTACAGTTTGGAATCAAACTGTAAGTAGGAGGACACTACTGGAGCAGTAGAGTAAAAAAATATTATTTCAAGCTAGTGATGCACTTACAGATATACTCCTGAATTCATGCTTTCCTTTATCCACCTTTACAGGTATTAAGTGGTAACACTAATATGGGGCCCTTACGCTGCAGGCTTCAAACTCCCCCTATGTCTGGACACTTGTTGCACACACAACAGGCAGAGACACGTTACCTCCTCTCCAACCTCAGCAGCATGCTGGGCACCCCGAGATTGTGAATTGAACTTACGGCATTAAGACAAGCAACTGAAAGACAGTTCAAGAACACTGAATAAATATGAGATCTGGTTCATAAACTCTCAAACTACTGTAAGCATTTATTCGCTGCTCCTCCCATGAAGACGTTGTCCCAGAGCCTCCCACTTCTCATTAATCATTTTCTGTCTAACTCAAGTTTATCCACTTCTATTTTATGATGGTTTTGTGCTGATGGTCTTACACAGCTCAAAGACTTTCTCCCCTTCCCTGGTGTTATGCCCTGAAGGTTTTACTGAGAGTATTTATATCCCTTTTAGCCTTTACCTAGGTAAAAACACTGTATCTTTCCCCTCTCCTTAACAAGGACCATGGGAGCAGAGAACCTACCTTCCTCTGGTTACCTGTTTCCACACTGCCAATCATTTCGGTGTCAACTAAAGGTGATGAAAAGGAAAACAGCCCCAGTCAAGGAGAATACTACATTGCTTTTGGATGAGATTTCCAGATACATCAGGAAATATAGGGATGAGTTTAGGAAGACCTCCACAAAATATTCATCAGACCTCCACTGAAAGTTTTCCATTCCTCCCAAAGATAATTTTTTCCTATCAGAACCTTTCTTCACTGTCTTTTTTTATTTGAGACTGTTCAGCTCCATTTACATTTTATTTATTACACCCACGCTCAGTGTTGCAAAGGCATCACTGCTGGTTCTGGAGGCTCTCCAATGGTGAGAGATTTACACTGGAGAAGGATCACCACGCGTCAGTCTCGTTCTCACCTTCATCCCTCAGCATCCACTATCAGCCACTGTGGGCGAGGAGGAGCTGTGGTCAGATCCAGTCTAACAGCATGTAGAAATTGCACTGGACATGTGGCCGCAAGCTTTGCTCCACCAAGAGCCACGTGAGGATTCATTAACACTTATAGCCCAGGATCCTCACTGGAAGATGAGAGGAAAGCGTGGGAGAAGTCCTTTTGCCTAATCGCCCTTCAAATTAAAGCCAGTTTATTCCACGGCTTGTCTGGGGTTATCGCAGGCACGTCTGCACAGGCAAGCCCAAGCAGGCACGACTACTGCTCACGTTTTGAGGTGGCCACATGCCTGCGAGTCTGGGGCAGGAGCTGTGCAGCCGCGAGAGCCTGCCCGGTGTGCGTGGAGATGTGCAGGTGGGGAAACCAGAGTCAGCCTGCACCCTCACTCAGAAGTGCTCTAAGTGGGCCAAGAGCTGCTGCACTCCTCACGCAGCTGCTCCAAGGGCCACCTGGCAAATGCACGCGTAAGACCTGCTCAACCGTTAACACAAAGAAAAACCCCGACGGCCCTAGACCTCTGTCCAAAGCAGATGAACAAAACCCAATTGTAACTAGAGGAAACATTAGTCCAAAATGCTAATAGTTAATAAATCCAGTCCTGAAAAACTCTAATTTCTGCCTGGATAACGTCCAGGGTGGCAAGTTGTTGGGTTTTCTGAGATTTCATTGCTATATCTAGAGAAGACCAACTAAGAATTCTTTTACAACAATAAAATAATAAAAAATAATGAAAATGTCCTGTTACACTATTAAGGGATACTATGTTATAATTTTAGCAGCAAGGAATTGTACTTGCAAATTTTCTTCCTTTCTGATCCTAAGTAATAAAATAGCCTGATAGAAATTCATGGAAGATTGTTTTTCCATTACAGGCATCCAGAACATTTGGAATAAGTTATTCTGATGCAGAATCTATTATCCCCCATCATCTGAGTTTTTCCATAGAAAAAAAAAAGAATTGTCCTTTAGAAACATATTAGCTATACTTCATTACTGTAGGGTGGGATTTTAAAAGGAAAAACAATTTAAAGAGTAATAGTAGTCATGTTGGAATGATTGACAAAATGTTTAAGAGCTTTTATTACTTATCAAATAAGCATTTCATTGCACTGTTTCTTTCATTTATGGTTAATGTACCCAATTTAGGCTATTTAAATATTATGGAGACTACCAAGCTCCCAAAAATACTGTCAAATCCTAGTGGTTCTGAAATTAGGCAAAATAAAACTGATTAAGGGGTGAGCATAGTGAGGACACATTTCTTTATTTAACATTATGTTTGGTATTCACAATCTACCAAAGTGTAGGACATGCAAAAATTCTCAGGCCCCTCAGATGCAAATCTTTTCTGGCAATCCTTTAAAAAGGTTGAGCCTGAACTTTAAATAGATTTTCAGGGATTAACAAGAAAGTTTATTTTTTATTACCACCAATTCATTATGCTTGTAAAACCGCGACTAATTGTATGCCACCTTTAAAAGTCTCACATTATGAATATATTTGTTCATTTAACTTCATTTGTTGTTTAATGGGAGATTTATTGAGAAGACATTAGCATAAAATCAGATTATGGTATCAGCTTCATTGTCCAGCTTTTCTATATCAAGGCAAATTCTTATATAATACAGAAAACCAAAGAGAGGAACTGAAGTTAAATGAAAATGTAGTACAAAATAAGAAATAAAAATCACATCAGTTCACTCTTCCCTGACTGTAAAACAAGGTTTCCAGTGGCTGACTTGGAAGAATTGAATTTTAGGGATTATTTTAACAGAGTTTAATAACCTGAACACTGATCAGACAGTAATATGGTACACTCACATTCTCCCCTCATTTCTCCTGTGGCACCCCCATAGTTTGTGGGAACATCAGCACTAAGGAGGGCTCAGGACAATTCTCTCACGGGACATTACCCCTTCCATTACCACCCTGTAAGTCATGTCTTTGTCACCTTAGAGTTTCTCTACACCAGCCCCCCATCTTCTACAGTTTTGTCCTTAATTTCCACATGGCACCATAGCAGCTCCTTCTCCAATATTCACTTCACGGAAATCTTTTACGTTTTGATTTTCCTTTTTAATAACTGTTCTCTACACTGTTTGATGTGTTCTGGGAAGCCTTTTTTTCCTTATGTCAATGCCCATTTACCTCAAAAACCACACTTACTTTTTCCGCTCAATATTGTTCAGGCCCTGCCACACCACTGAAGTAAAATTACAGACGTATAATTTTCCAGGTCATATTTAAACTAATGGAGACATTACATTTCATTTGTTGCTCTCCAGTTGCATTGTACATGGAATTTCATTTATCAGCTCTTTGAGATCATCCCATTTGACCCCATCCTTGACAGGTTTTATCTTTGTTTTACACAGAGAACATTGAAACCTCCATCTCTATCCACCTTTTATCGTAGCAGAGGAAAATCTTGAGAGTTGCCTTTGTATAGCCATTGATTGATGTAAATTCACTATTAGATTCCCTCATTTTACCCCTATTTCCTCTTTATGAAGATACACATTTCTAGACTTCCCATTCCTCCATCTGCCATTCCCTATAGGCTTCCTGCTTTATTCCTGCTACTTTTTTTAGAGTTAGTTATTCATTGGCCACATCTGGATCTTCTTTATCCACTGTTCTTCCCTTCTCTTAAGGAAATTGGCTGAGGCTACTATCAACAACTTAAAAAAAAAATAAATTTCCACATCTCTTGCACGATCAAGGCCCTTATAACTTAATCCAGTTGGTATTACCATCCTTCCTGAATTTATTGAACTTTTGTCTTTTGGAACCAAGATATACAATCACAGTCCTCCATTCTGTAAGCCAAATCAACTGGGGACTGTTCTTGGACTATACAATTATCTTCTACAACATTTGTTTTATTTTGTCTGTGGGGTTTTTTTGTTGTTAAATGAGAGCGCCATGAAAAATCAAAACCAAGTCTAATGAAGCTTCACCTGTTGATCCAGGGGCTCCCTGGTGCCAAGTCTCCCTCACCCCAAGCAAGCCACCGCGCACGAGCCATACAAACTCACTAACCGCCGTCGAGTGGGACTGCTCTCCCTTCAGCAGGGGTGGGGACCACGCGGGCTCCTCTCCTTGGGGCCCTCCGGTTGCTGGCTCCCCCGACAGCGACCTGCTCAGCTTTTAAAGCCATGTGCTGAACTCTTCCCCCCACCCCAGAGGCAGCTGAGATCAAAGGTTGAG